TAGAACACTGTAGTTAGTGTTTCTCAGTTCTCCTTTGTCGGAGTGTACACTTGGGGTTATTTTGCCTCCGGGTTGTACATTTCTCTTTGAGCTATAAAATCTATCGTTTCGATATTAAAAAAAAAAAAAGTGAATGGAATTGACTTTACGATCCATGTCTAATATATTTGATTCTTCTGCCGCATATTATACAAACTTTGAAAGCCTCAATTATGATAGATAGTGATGATACAAAAAGATGTCACATCACAATTATTCATACTATCTAATTCTAGATACTGCAAATGTTTCTTCCGAATTTTAAGGCCAACAAAAACAATAAAAATTAGAAAATCACGACAAAGCAAATTTTAAAGTAAATCCAATGAAACATCGTGGAAAACAAAAATCACGAAACAGGAGAAAGAATGATCGATAATAAAAGAAAAAAGAACGAATGTCTTTACGATTTACACACGCACCTCAAATTTCCCAGCCTAGTAATTTAAATCTTTTTTTACAAAACTTGAAAGAAGTCTCAACCGAACCTCTGCCTCTTGGCCGAAGGCACGTAACCATTGATTCCAAGCGAACAATGATCACGAGCCAACTCGACCCGCCCTGCGTTTGGAAATGACAATGGCAGCGGCAGCGGCATCATCTGATTCTGATGCGGCTGATACTGTGGTGGGTTACGCCATCTCGGAAGTGGGCCCGCCAGCAGCAGCGTCTGCAGCAGAGGCCCGGCCCGAAGCACCGCGTCGAGGAATTTACCCTTCTGGGGCAGGGCCCGCCCCCGGACGAGGCGGTCCAGATCAACGTGTTCGTGGCCCACCAAAACCGAACTGCCGTTCAAAACAACAGGGCTCGGGGGGGACTCGGTGAGGCTGTTGGAGTCGGAGTTTGGTTTGAGGAGGTCGTGCAGCTGTTTCTTGGCTTCGTCTCTCTCGTGGATGGCGTAGCGGAGGAGGTGAATGAGCTGACGTATGTATTCCTTGTTTTTACGAGTCTCTTCCACACCTTCCGACTTTACCTTCTCAAGTTCAAGCGTCGTGTAAAGAAGCTTCTGCCCCAGCTGCTCCATTTCTGGATTATTTTCTCCACAATAAGCAACCTATAGAGACCAAAAGAAAATATAAATATATATATATATATTATATATATATATACATACAAAAAAATACAGGCCATTAATTTACGAATTTTATTAACAAACAAGGTTTGAATATAAACATTTTGACACTACTAATCATCAATATTTTGGATAATTAGACATTAATTAATGAGAAATGATTTAACATTGGATTCCTTTAATTTAGATAGGCTCTCGCTGATTATTCAATGTAGAGGTGGCAAGGGTCGGCCCGGCCCTAACTGGCCCGAAACCGGCCCGGACTTACAAGTCCTGGAACCGGACTTGTTGTAAAATCGGGCCGGTTCTGAGTTCAGCTTTTGAGGTCCCGGTGACCTGGGTCGTGAACCGGCCCGACTGATTGCCATCTCTAAATTTCAATGTTCATGTATATTCAATTCAGAACTCAAGAAAACCACCGCATTAATGCAAGACACATAGGAAAAACAAAACAGTGTCCATTCTCCAAAAAAACTCAACTAAAAATGTAACATGCAAACAAAGGTTGATCAATAAAGAAAAATAAAATAGAGAATTCATGTTCAAACCTCTTCAAAAGTACTCCACAGAGCCGCCATCTCACCCATCCACTCAAATTCTTTATGAGATGTTTGGATTAAGATAGAAATTTAGAATACATAGAGCTTTGATGGATTTATATATAGAGAGAGAGAAATGAGGAGTTGAATATGAAAGAGTTTCAAAAAAATAAATACAAATACATTTTTAATGGTTAATAATAAATAAAAAAAGGAATCTAGTGAAACCTTCCAACATAAAATCGTCGCTTTCAATGTCAATTCTTAAATCCAAAATGATTTCCTTAATTAATATTTTCCATTTCATTTTACATATATTCCTTTATTACATAATTTTACTACAATGCGTTTTCGAATATTTCTGTACCGAAAATTTATGGAGCAATCGGATGACTCCTTTATGGAAATATCCATAACTTCATGTAATGACGCATGTTTAAAGTATATATTTATTACAGGACACGTGTCAGTACATCATTTGCGAATAACAATAGATGACTCCATAAGCCGAACCATTAAATACAAAAAGTATGACCATCTATGTAGGTGGTAAACTTATTTATCTGCGAATATAATCATCAAATTTTAATGGTTAAATATATTTTTATATGTATAAGCGAAAAGTGTTCTAACATCCTGGTAAAAAAAGAAAAATTCAAAGAATAGAATAATGGTTGAATGATAGTTTCTATTTAATTATTTAATTTAATTATTGTGATTTGATTAAAAGCGGCAAATGAAATTCTAAGCTACAACGTCAGGAAATGGATATAGAAATTTATTGTAACAATGGAAATGCTACATTTTAATGGGGTGGTATTTTACTTTTTTAATAAAAAAGTATGACCAGGTACATCTATGCTAATGAATCTCTTAATTTGTATGACTTCCTGTAAATAAAAATAAAGTATTCTCTCTATATATATTTATATCTTATATCTATATATATTCCATATATGTATCTATACATGTGCAAAAAAAAAAAACTCTTACATATTCAAACAGAAATTTTTCGTTAGAATTCTTTATATTTTCTGTTAGAATAGCTAGTCAAACGGTTATTCCAACGTATAAAAATTCGTGGGAAAAACAGTCGTTGGAATAGCTAAAATCCAACGGAAAATCCTATGGAAATAAATTCTTACCGCTATTCCAACGGAAAAAATCCGTTGGAATTATTCAACCATCCAACACTTATTCTAACATAAAATTAAGTTTGTTGGAATATTCATTGAAATTTCCAACAGAATTTTTTGCCGTTGGAATTTTTCGTTGGAATTGAAGTGTTTTCTTGTAGTGCTATATCAAGACATTATTGGAAAAATAAATGATAGAAAGTTTGCCCAACAAAATATAATGTTAGACTTACGAGTAGTGGAAATTTTGAAAACACACACGTGAATCTTTAATAACAATATTTGAATTCCATTTTTTTAAGTAACAAATTTATAGATTATTATGACAAAATTTGAATGTCATTTTTTTTATTATTTTTTATTTATTTTTTTTTCCCAAAAACTGAATCTCATTTTTTGGTAATAAATTTGAAGATTATTATGTCCAAAATTGTCAATTATT